TCAGAAAGTGAAAAGACAACTCACAGAATGGGAGAAGATACTTGCAAATCATGTATCTGATAAGTCTAGTATCTAGAATATATAAAGTACTTTTACAACTTAATGATAGAAAGACATGTGTCTGACTCTTGATTTCAGCTCAGATCATGGTCTTGGTGTTGTGAAATTGAGCCCTGCTTTGGACTCCTTGCTGAGTATGGAGCCTACTTAAGATTCTCTCTCTCCCTCAGCCTTGTCCGGCCCTGACCTCTTGCCGCTCATGTTCATGTGCACTTTCTCTCTATATAAAATAAAAATAATAATAATAAAATAAAATAATAATAGAAAGAGAAAAAACCCAATTACAAAAGAGGCAAAGGATCTGAATAGACATTTCTCCAAAGATATATAAATGGCCAATAGGCACATGAAATGACATTCAACATTATTAGTCATCAGGGAAATGTAAATAAAAACTACAGTGAGATACCATTTCACACCCACTAGGATGGCAAGAATCAGAAAGATGGACAATAAAAGTGTTAGTGTGAGGATGTGGAGAAATTAGAACCTTCATACATTGTTGGTGTGAATATAAAATATACAGCTGCTTTCGAAAAGTTTGGCAGCTTTTCAAAAAGTTTAATAAAAACTTACCATATGACTCAGCAATTCCATTCCTTGGAATATATCATGAGAATTGAAAACTATGTCCACATAAAAACCTGTATATGATGTTCAAAGCAAAATTACTTATAATAGCCAAAAAGTGGGTACAGCCCAAATGTCCATCAACTGACGAATGGATAAACAAAAATCGGTATATCCATTCAATGGAATATTATCCTTCCATAAAAGGAATAAAATACTGATGCATGCTAACATGAATGAATCTTGAAAACATTGTTAAATGAAATAAGCCAGACATTTTTTCAGATACTACAAAGGTCAGATATTATATTATTCCGTACATATTAAATGTTTGTAACAGGCAAATCCGTAGAGACAGAAAGTAGACTAATGGTTGCCAGGAGTTGGTGGGGGGCAAATGGGGTGACTACTAGTGAGTATGTGCTTTCTTTTTGAGGTGATGAAAATGTTCCAGAATTAGTTATTGGTGATAGTTGCATAACTTGGTGAGTATACTAAAATTCACTGCATTGTACACTTTATAAAGGTGAATTTTGTGGTATATGAATTATGTCTCAATGAAAAAATACATGGGCGCCTGGGTGGCTCAGTCAGTTGAGCGTCTGCCTTTGGCTCAGGTCATGATCCCAGGGTCCTGGGATTGAGTCCCATGTCAGGCTCCCTGCTCTGCAGGGAGTCTGCTTCTCCCTCTGCCCCTCCTCCTACTCAATCTCTCTCTCTCTCTCTCAAATAATAAATAAATAAAATATTTTTTAAAAATACAACTGGAACAATGGAGGAATTTTACTAAGAGAAGACTAGGGAAGGGACACATGTGGGAGAGAAAGGCAGAATTTGTTTTGGACATGGTAAGTTCGGAATACCCATTAAATACCCAAGTGCATTTCTTTCTTTTTTTTTTTCCAAGTAGATTTTTGAAGTAGGTAATTGAAGTCTTCAGTTCAGGGGAGAGATATGGGTTGGAGATATAATTTGGGAGGAAATGAATTAATACATGTAAAACACTTAAAATAGTTCCTGGAACACAGTAAGATCTATAAATGTTAGTTATTATATTTATTATCTTGTATGTACAGAGTAATAGCCAATTGTCCTAGCACAATTTGTAGAATCCTTTACTCCCTCGCTTTTTAAAAAAGATTTTGTTTTTAGGTAATCTTTACAACCCAGTGTGGGGCTCGAACTCACAACCCCGAGATCAAGAGTTGCATACTGCACTGATTGAGCCAGCCAGGTGCCCCGATCTTTTTTTTTTTTTTTTTAAGTTTATTTAAAGTAATCTACACACAACATGGAGCTGGAACTCACAACCCTGAGATCAAGAGTTGCATGCTCTTCTGATTGAGGCAGCCAGGAGCCCAGACTCCCTGATTTTTAATGCCACCTCTGTTACATACAAATATCCCATTTATACTGAGGGTCTTTTTCTATCATTGCATTCTTTTAAGTAGAAATTGTTTTAGGGGAGAGTAGATTGGAAGCCAAGACTTCTCTCAACTTTTCTCAAATCACTTCACAAGAACATTAAGTGATTCTATGCTTCTGTTTCACCTTTGTTACCTAAGAAGAAGTCACCTGGATTCCTTCTACCTTTTAGAGGCTGCTGTGAGAATGGATGATATCCTAGGCAGGAAGTTCAGGAGGCCAAGTAATACAAAGCTGCAGAAGGAAGTTACCTGAGAGAAAAGAGATTCTGTAGGTAGTACTTTGAGTCCATTAATTCTACTTATAACTATGGTAATTTTTTAAAGTTTTTTTTTTTTTTTAATTGTGGCAAAACCCCACATAAAGTAAAATGTACCATCTTGGTTACCAGATCAAAACAAATTTTATTATTATTATTATTATTTATTTATTTTTTAAGATTTTATTTATTTATTTGACAGAGAAAGACACAACGAGAGAGGGAACACAAACGGGGAGTGGGAGAGGGAGAAGCAGACTCCCTGCCGAGCAGGGAGCCCGATGCGGGACTCGATCCCGGGACTCCAGGATCATGACCTGAGCCGAAGGCAGTCGCTTAACCAACTGAGCCACCCGGGCGCCCGAAAACAAATTTTAATACAGTCTTTGCATTTGATGTTTAACCCAAAATCTTCCCAAGGCTGTCTCCTCCTCATAGTTCAACTGCTGATTCATATTGGGAGAGGGCTCCCCACTGAAATATAAGTTCTACCTGAGCAGGGACCTAGTCTGTCTGCTCTTCTCCCCATGCCTGGAACAGTGCCTTGCACCTAGTATGTCCTGTTAAGTATTTATTGAAATACTTGCTGAGTAGTAAGTATAGTGTTCTTCGATTCCCAGTTTTATATATTTTATCTCATTTGATCATTACAACTCTTTGAGTAAAATGGACTTACTAACCCCATGGTAAAGAGACTCAGAGAAGCATCTCACCCAAAGTCACAGGCCAATTAAGAAACAGGGTTGGAGGGGCGCCTGGGTGGCTCAGTCGTTAACCGTCTGCCTTCAGCTCAGGTCATGATCCCAGGGTCCTGGGATGGAGCCCCATGTCAGGCTCCCTGCTCCGCGGGAAGCCTGCTTCTCCCTCTCCCACTCCCCCTGCTTGTGTTCCCTCTCTCGCTGTCTCTCTCTCTGTCAAATAAATAAATAAAATATTAAAAAAAAAAAAAAAGAAACAGGGTTGGGATTGCTACTTAGGTGGCTTGCTTTTTTTCAATACATTCACTCCAGTTCTAGGGCTAAGGGTATTTCAAATTACTTTCCAATTAAGGAAGTGATGACTCTGCAGGATAGTAGAAACAACCTGCACATTTATTTATGTCTCCAGTTCCTGCAACTGGAACCCTTACTATCCGCACCCCACCCCTTATGCAGTCTCTCTCTCACACACACACACACACACACACACACACACACACACACACACACAGAGAACCGGGTTATGGCCACAGTAATATTATTCTAAGTGCAAAGAAGAAAATGCAATTACTCGACTGTTTGGAAACCTGAATCCCCTTGTGTGTCGGTGTGGGAGGGGGTGGTTTCCCCCCCCTTTTTAAACAGCTTCATTTAAGTATTAATCTTCTCCTGGGTTTTTTGTTTTTGTTTTTAAGATTTTATTCATTTATTTGACAGACACAGCGAGAGAGAGAACACAGGCAGGGGGAGTGGGAGAAGCAGGCTTCCTGCCAAACAGGGAGCCCAACGCGGGGCTGGATCCCAGGACTCTGGGATCATGACCTGAGCGGAAGGCAGACGCTTAACGACTGAGCCACCCAGGCGCCCCATCTTCTCTTGTTTCTAAAGTGCGCTCCTTTAGGGAGACCAGGGAGGGGGGAAAGTGCACTCCTTTGAAATAATCTCATTCCCTAGAATATTTACTTCACCTTTTGAGTGTCCTGACTTTTATGAGCTTTTCGTTTATTTATTTAAATAATCTCCATACCCAACGTGGGGCTTGAACTCATGGCCCCAAGATCAAGAATCACAAGCTGTTCCGACTGAGCCGGCCAGGTGCCTTTACTTCACCTTTCGGATGTCCACCACTACAGGCACCCGAACGGATTCCCTTTCCTTTTACCCCTATATTCCACAGCCGAACACGTGTAACTGTATGTACTCAATTCGCTCAGCCTCTCTCCGCAGTCCAGTCCAGCCCACCAAAAGCCCGGCCCCTTCTTTTTTCCCGAGCCCCGCCTTTCGGCCCCTTTCCAACTTAGGGCCTACGGATCTCGCCCTTCCTTCCCCCCCCCGCCACCCGCCGCAGAACATCTCGCGAGAGGTGAGCGCCCCTGGCCGGACGAGAAGAAAGTATCTGCTCCTCTGAGGGGGGAAAGAAGGAGCTGGAGACAGATTGTGGGAACGAACGCGGGCGGGCGGGAGGCGACGGAGCTACCAGCGGGTGAGTTCTTTTAACATTAACTAGTCCATGATCTGGCGGAGTCTCTCTTTCAACTCTGGCCACTCTCAGTGTCCCAGGCCGGGGTCTCCCCTCCCAGTCGGTGTTGGACGGGGGCGCTGAGGCGGTGGCCAGGCCCTGTCTGAGGAAGTGGGTGGGGCATGGACTAATGCCGACCAATAAAAGAGAAGGAAGCTACGATTGGCGGCGATGAACACTAATGAGAGATCGTCTTTACCTTGCGGAGTGCCGCCCCTCTTCTCTGCCTCCTACCGCCTCCTTCCTCTGGGGGAGAAGGCGGGGCCAGAGGCCTGAAGTGTGGGGAGAACTTGGGGTAAGTAGCCCCGGGGGGCACAGGGCGTGGCAAGGAGAGGGGAGTTGAATCCTGAGGGAATGGAAGTCTAGTAGAGCCTAATGGGAGGATCATGGGATGGGGTGGGATGGGAGGAAGGGGAGGGGTACTAAATTGGTTGAAGACTCAGGCTTACCAAAGTGGGGTTAGGGGCTTGGCATTGAAGAGCTAAGGGTAATAGGTAGGAGGTAGGGAACAGTAGGTGAAAACATGGCATTGGGTTTGGTTGGAAAGATAGGTAGAGATAAATCATTGGAAATGAGAGTCATGGCATTTCGATTGAATTATGAAAAAGAATAGGGACATGATTTCAGAGAGAAAGTATGAATTTGGAGAAAATTCAGTGAATGGGTTTAGAAAGACTTAATAGAGGTGGGCTTACGAGCCAAAAGGTATCACTTTGGGAAGAGTATAAGGGAATTCGGAGGGGTAAAGGAGGTGTTTGGAAAGGAGACAGCTGATACATACAGGCCTTTAGCCTAGGTATCAGAAGCAGCCTAGGATATTGATTTGGGGCTTTTGCTGTATATGGCACCTAGTCTGGTGACCAGCTTGCAAGAATAGTGGGGTAGGGGTAGAGGAGGAGAAAAATAGAACGCTTTCATCGCTTCTACTCTGATTTCCTTTCTCCCTCTCTTACTCTTCCTACACTCATCTCTTCCTGAACTCAGGGATGGGGGCTTGGGACTTGAGCGGTACATGTTGGAGCCCCATTGGGAGTCATGTTGCTCTGAATTGCTTGTTATGTTCTCTAACTGGGGTGTTTACTACCCAGGGCACCTCCTACCTAGATTGCTGCGTTGCTACTTTCCTAACTTTAAAAGTTTGTTTTCTACTTAACAGAGGGTGTTTCAGTATCTCCAGAGGTTGTGTCATAGTAAGTGTAGGTTTGTGGGGGTGTACAGAGTTTTCTGGGCAAGCTCACTTGATTCCTATACTTAAAAACTTTGCAGTAGTGTAAGAATTCTTGTAAAGACGGTTTAAGCACAGAAAAATATACTAAACTGAAGTTTGTTTTGTTAAATGTGTGTCTTATCCACTCATATTCTTGGAGTTTGTTAAATGGATGGTTGCAGTTAGTTTTACTTAGCTTATGTTATATATTTTTAAATGGTGTAAATAAGATGGACATATATTTCAGGAAAGTGAAAAACTTTCAGTTTCTTCCTTTGTGTCTAAACTCAGAAGCCAAAGATATGTCATAATATCTTAGGGCAGGGGCTGGGGAAATCAAACACAATTTGTACTTAAACATGGGAGGATGTAAGGTAAGTGGAGACTATTGCGAAATGTAACATGTCTGTAAGAAAAGAAGCTAAAGAAAAGTTTGGCAGCTATACTAAGTAGTCTTACCAGTTTGTTCTTAATTCTGTACAGCAAAGGGACAAGCCTTTGCCCTTTGTTTGATAGTTGTGTGTTATTTAATAATGAATTGAACTAATACGGCCAGTTAATTAAGAACTTGTTTGCTACTGCATAGATTTGTCTTTTACATCCTTCTCTTCTCCTTTTACTTTTGAGAAGCAAAATAATGTCTGAAATGCCGGTAAAGCTCTTATATGAAGAGAAACCAGAGTGTGTTGCTTTGTATTAACCTTTGGTTTTCAGCAACCATTTGAAGCTTTTTCTCCTGGCCAGAAAGTTGCCCCTACAACACGTTGAGACCAATTAATTACTGACCCTTTAGCATTAATTACTGAATTGGATTCCAGTATTTCACATTCAGAGCAGTGCTGTTGGACATTCAGGCATTTTCAGTTTGCCTGGCAGCAGAACAAAAAATACCCAATGAAAGAGCAAAGCCCCTTGTTTTATTCTTCCGTTCTCGAATTTGTGATGGCTCTAACTTGGGCACTATTAAATGCAAGATTTTTTTTTTTTTAAATCTCATCAGTGTTAACACCTAGCAGAAAGCTAGGGAGTGGCAACACTGCGCATCTTTAAACTTGTGGATCAAAGGTTGCATCCTATGATGGTTTCAGTGTTTTAATTTTTAAGCATTTTTGTTTACCAGGGCTTTTAAATGTTAATGGATACTGCTACTGTACCTCCTTTTTCTTTCCTCTCCCCACTTCCAACTCAAAATGAAAACTGTTTTTTTCAACCAACTCTTAAGCTGCTTCTTTGCCTCAAGTAAAGTCCCTGGCTCTGCCTGAACACAGCTGCTCTGAAGTTCTCACAAGTTACTGTTTTGTACATGTCAAGACGGAGTTTTTCCTAGCCTGCAGTAGGAGGGAGTCAGTGTTAAGCAGCCTCATCCACGTCTGATAAGGAGGAGCCTTCTCCTTGCAAGGAAGTTTTAGGTGGAGCAAATAGCAATGCCATGTAAATGTATAACAAAGACAGCTCTCTTCTTGAGACTAGTTGGCAGGCTGGCATATAATTGTTCCTTATCCCTTGATAAAGGTACTAAAATTAAGGTGCAGATGTTGTTTCTTTCAGAAAAACAAATGCAGCATTCATTTAAAAAGCAAAAGCATTAATTTCTTTTGTTGTTGGTTTCTCTGAAAATGGTACTCTGATTTTAGAGTTCATGAAAAAGTTTTCCATCGGGTGCCTGGCTGGCTTAGTCGGTGGAGCATGTGACTTTTTTTTTTTTTTTTTTAAGATTTTATTTATTTATTTGACACAGAGATAGCAAGAGCAGGAACACGCGCAGGGGGAGTGGGAGAGGGAGAAGCAGACTCCCCGCTGAGCAGGGAGCCCACTGCAGGGCTTGATCCCAGGACCCTGGGATCATGACCTGAGCCGAAGGCAGACGCTTAACGACTGAGCCACCCAGGTGCTGCACTGGAGGTCTGCTTTTAGAACATTCTTTACATTGTGCTGAAGCTCTTTAGTTCTGCCATTTGCAGCTACAATAAATAAACCTAATTCCTTGTCAGCATGGTAGCCCTTCAAGTATTCGATGACAGTTATGTAGTGGGATAAATATCCCAAGTTATTTCAGCATTCCTTAAGTGACCATTTTTAATAAAGTTCAGGCTTCTCATGAACTGGGTTGCTTGTATTTAGGGTTTCTTTCTAGATCTGAAATATAACACCTCAGGTATAATCTGATCAATACAAAGTACAGGGGAGAGTATGGCCTCTTTTCTGCTGTGCTCTGTACCTCTGTTCTTAAAGCCTAAGATCACGTTAATTTGTGTAATTGATTTTTTAAATGTAATTGATGACCTTACATTTATCCTTGTAATTGTCATCTTGTTAATTTGGGCTTATTGTTTTAGCTTAATAATGTTATTTGGCCTCTTAGCCATTCCTCATATCATATCCTGATGTTTGTATCATTGATAGATAAATTTTATAAATGAGACATAAATACCTATGTTTTTGGTTTAGGTCACTAGTAAAAATATATAAGGGTGGAGCAGTGCCATATAACATCAGCATGCTCTCATTAGGTTGATATTAATCCACTTATCAGCCTTTTGGGTAAAATTCAATTATGAATCAACCTTCTGTTTTATCATCTAACTTATATTTCCTGTGAAATATTAAGAGGTATCCTGTTGAAATCTAAATATATTGTCTCTGACCTATCCCTAAGCTCCTAGGCTAGTGACCTGTTAAAAAATGAAATGAGGGGGTGCCTGGGTGGCTCAGTTGGTTAAGCGACTGCGTTCGTCTCAGGTCACGATCCTGGAGTCCCAGGATCGAGTCCCGCATCGGGTTCCCTGCTCAGCAGGGAGTCTGCTTCTCCCTTTGATCCTTCCCCCTCTCATGCTCTCTCTCTCTATCTCATTCTCTCTCTCAAATTAAAAAAAAAAAAATGAAATGAGGGGCGCCTGGGTGGCTCAGTTGGTTAAGCAACTGCCTTCGGCTCAGGTCATGATCCTGGAGTCCCGGGATCAAGTCCCACATCGGGCTCCCTGCTCAGCAGGGGGTCTGCTTCTCCCTCTGCCCTCTTCCCTCTCGTGCTCTCCGTCTCTCATTCTCTCTCTCTCAAATAAATAAATAAAATCTTAAAAAAAAAAAAATGGGGGCGCCTGGGTGGCTCAGTTGGTTAAGCGACTGCCTTCGGCTCAGGTCATGATCCTGGAGTCCCGGGATCGAGTCCCGCATCGGGCTCCCTGCTCGGCAGGGAGTCTGCTTCTCCCTTTGACCCTCCCCCTCTCATGCTCTCTGTCTCTCATTCTCGCTCTCAAATAAATAAATAAAATCTTTAAAAATTAAAAAAAAAATAAAAAAAGATAAAAAAAAATGAAATGAAATGAGGTTAGACATTAGTTGCTGCCTAGCTAGGTCATGCTAGTGTTTATACATCACTGCATTACTTGCCAGTTGTTTATAAGACATCTATTTAATAATTCCCCTATTTTTTTAAGTATAATTGCCCCCCCTTTCCAACATTGCTGGTCCTGTTTCCTTTATTTTTAATTTTTAAAATAATTCTAGAATGATTAACAGTGCTTCTGCATAGTTGCATATTTTGTGTCATCAGATGAAATTCTGTTTTGGAATCTTTGGCATTTTAAGTAACATATTAAAAAATTAACTATTGTCCATGTAACAGTTATATCATAGCTTCCCCATAATATTGACATCTCCAGTCTAGACCTAACTTTTCGTTTTGTTTGGAATAAAAACCTACACTACCTGTAAGAAAAAAGACACCACACACACATACACACACACATATAACTGACTTTTATAATTATAGTTTATTGATGTGGTGGGCTAAGTTTGTCATGCTCTGTGCTATAGGTAAAATTGTGCTAGAAATAAGCCAGAACATCAGAAGACATCTCTAGAGACTAAAGACTGTGTTGGCAGCCAGCAACTTTCCTGTGTGTTAATTTTAGACTTGATAGTTGAACTTATGTTTGAGCAATTTTAGCTGATAAATGCATTTTTAAAGCACCTTCCTCTTTTGGGGTTTTAACTTTTACTTTCACTTTTAGAAAATTGCAAATTGTGAATGGAAATGTCTCTGCGGAATGAAGTAGCATGCTGTTAGGGACAGGATGCATCTTTTGATAGCTTCTCATCCATTTGAGATTGTTTAGTTATGAATTCTCCTGGAAAGAGAAGGATGGACTTGATGACCCCTCAAGGTCCTTTCCAGTCCAAACATTCATAAATAGAAACTCAGATCAAAGAACTTACTATTGAAGAATCAGGAAGAAAAATAGACATTAAAGAAAATGAAATTGAAGTGGTTCTACTGACCCAGTGGGAATGGCTAAACAGAAAGTAAGGAACATAAATGTCAAGAAATAACTCCTTTGAGCAAGAAACCAAACAAGAATCAACAACAACAAAATTTTGCATTGGGGTCATTTCATGTCTTAAAATATTTCATCATGATACTTTCTCTCCAGAATTTCCCTGGTGGACACTTTGTGTTGAAATAATGTTTGTTTGTCCCCCCACCCTTAAGCCATAGTATTTTGTTTTCTTTGCTTCTCTTGTTTATCCTTTTGTTTAGAAAGTGTGTGTGGCGTGGGGGGGGGGGGAAGGGGTCTGAATAATATACCCACTCCTTGTATACAATGAAGAAAATTCAGTTTAGTTTTGAAAGTAAACATATACTGCTTGGCTTCCTTAGAGAGGATGGATGAGTGTTATATTTCATGAAAAATTTTATGAAAAGACAAATTTGCCTGACTATATTATAAAAACAGGATGGTTATCTAGTTTTTAAAACTTTGTAGGCATACATCTAGGAAAGATTCCCAATTAAGGTGAATGTGAGTTACTGCAGTAATCTTTTTTTTTTTTTTAAGATTTTTTTATTTATTTGACAAACACAGAGAGGGAACACAAGCAGGGGGAGCAGGAGCAGGAGAGGGAGAAGCAGGCTTTCCGCGGAGCAGGGAGCCCAATGCAGGGCTCCATCCCAGGACCCTGGGATCATGACCCAAGCCGAAGGCAGACGCTTAATGACTGAGCTACCCAGGCGCCCCAATCTTTTTTTTTTTTAACTACAGTAATCTTATGAAGGATGTAAGAACACTTAATGAGAGAACAAAACTCATTACAAAGTCACGACTTCACTTTGTTAGCTTTTTCTCATCTTTTGGTAATTTTAATCCTAAATGTTCTCATGTTTGAAACCCGAGTATGTAAAAAGTTTCTCTTTTCAGGGTGCCTGGCTGGGTCAATCAGTGGAGCATGCGACTCTTGGTCTTGGGTTGTGAGTTTGAGCCCCACGTTGGGTGTAGAGTTTACTTAAAAAAAAAAAAAAAAAGTTTCTCTTCAAGAGGAAACCAGAGAGGGAGACAAACCATAAGAGACTCTTAATCTCAGGAAACAAACTGAGGGT